GGTCATGAGTTCAAACCTGGCAATGGGTACCTTGCCAAGGCTAGGGGAACCTCCATTGTGTAACCAAGGAGCACCATGGACATTATAGTCCTCACAGACCAGGCAGCCATCACCTACATACCAGCTGTTATGACAATGGGCCCCAGGAAAGCCCTGGGGAGCAGAGCGCAGCACCATCATCCCCTCTCTTGAGTAAACAAGTTAAAGCACTGTGCTCCCCTGCCTGACATAGGGGTAGTGGTGCCACCTTCATACGCAATTTGCACACTGTTCTATAGTTTCCTTTTGGGGGAGTCAGCCTCTGACTCTAGTATTGTGGGCAGTGTGGAACCCCCAGCCTGAGGAGCTTCAGAGGGTGCTGTCCTCTCTCCACTTGGGTTGACACTGACAGAGTCCTCACTACACTATAGTGATAGATCCAGGAAGAACACGTAGGATAAGCTAGTCCTGGGCACTCCCAACATGGAGCAGCAACATGAACACCCAGGCTGGGGTCTCAGGTCATCATAACTTCCATGGGAGCCCTTTCCATACTGGGCTAATGCAATCTAGAGGCACACTCCCATGGGGCCCCTTTTAAAAGTCTAACCTCCTGGTGACATGCCAACACTAGCCTCAGAAGCACAGGTGAGAGGGACAGAGGCAAGCAGGGAAGAAGGAAGAGATCACGTCAAGTATCACTGAAGTTTCAGGAAGCACAGAGCCTTAATTATTTTCTTAATTAAATGTTGGCTGCTAAAAAGTTTACTCTGACATTTGACCTGCTCAGCCACTCTTCCTTCCTGACAATCTCTCCACCTTTCCCAGGCCTCTTCCTTTTTGGCCTCCTGAAAACTCCAACTTTCTTGAAAATGAGTCCACAGAGGCACTTGATGAAGCCAACGGGAATGGTATCTTGACTTGGAAACACAAGTTTCCAGCAATGCACAAGTTTTGGACCCACATGTCCATTCCTTGCTGTTGTTGCCTTTTCTGTAGAGATTGGGAGCTGTGACCATCACTGGAAGGGAGGGTGAGCCACAACAGGATGGCTGCAGGAGTAGAAATCAGGAGTGAGGCCTGATCCAAGGCCTGACTGCAACTCCTAACTTCAAATGTAGGTGAAGCCTTTGCTAAAATGCACTCAGCTCTCAGCTAGTCCTACTGACGGGAAGAACCGGCTCCAAGAGTAACCCAAAATGGTGGGTAATCTTAGAAAGTATTTAACTACGGCCTTAGAATATTGGATAAAGTCAGGCCCTCTAAAAAGTGTTAGCTTGTTTAGTCTTAGATGTATGTTCTTAATCACTTTTTACTTAAGCTGAACCGGGTTGCATAGCAATTGGATGGGAGGCAGAGCATCTGGGGGAGCCCAACAAGGGGGAAAGGGAGAGCGCGTCTGGGATTGAACATCCCCAGAGGGGAATCAGGAGTTGGCCCCTTTGGGCTTATGCCCAAGAGCAAGTGAAATGCCACAAGCAAGTAAACGTGGCTCATTTTAAGAGACAGGTCTCTATATGGTCTCAACTTCCTGACTTTGCCCCAAAAAGCTGCAAAGAATGGAAGGGCAATAAGATCTGTGGGCTTAGAGAATGTTGGGAACATCTTCACCCTGGTCCTGGGCTCAAGATCCTGCAGTTTCTTGAGCCATTACTGCTTTTAAGAGAATGGGCTGAATCGGGAGATCCCAGGTGCTGGGAGAAGGGGAGCCTGGGCTGTTGGGTTGTCTGTGTGGATTTGCTGGAAGGAAGTAAGGGTCACGGCAAGGAGGCCTATATTAGGCTGCCAGCTGTCCCAGGTACTTCCACACTCTGCCCCCAGGTTTCTGGTGGGAGGAAGATGAATTGGTAGAGACCCCATGCAATTCCCGGTCTTAGTTAGATATCTGCTTGATGTGCTGGCCCATCCTTCTGCTTGAAACCTAGGAGTTACTTCTCAGGACTGAAATCTGGTGGTGAAAGAAAAGACTAGAGAAAGATTCCGTGAAGGATACTGAGGGATATAAACACAGGCCAGGGAAAGGTGATTAAATCTGATCTTTTGTTTGTCCCTGTTAATTCATAGCTCTGGGGGCAGGGCAATGGGTCTGAGCATATGTCCGCATTTCATATGTATTGTGTGATGTTTCTGAGCATGTGTGCTATGTATCTTGTGTGCCTATTATAAGTAAATGCATTGTGTGTATATAGTGAGTTTATGTGTATTTCATGTGTAGAAACAATGGTAAAGTAGCCTTTGTGTATCTTACATGCATATGCATTTTGTCCGTGTAGTTTTTTATGTATCTTGCATCTGAGTTGCAGGTTGTGTATTTGTATGTGGTGTATGTTTGTCTTTTGTGTATGTTCTGTGTAAATTCTGTATCTGTGCAGAGTGTGCATTTTGTATACAGTTATAACCATATATCTTCTGTGTTTGCTTTTATGTTAACTTGGTCTGTCTGTATTTTGCACATGTTGCATGTTTTATGTTTGTGTGTGACAACAGTGTACCTATTTTGTGGTGAATGTACATGACTGTGTGTGAACATTTTAGAGTCCTGGGCCAACGACACTGTGATAAAATATCTGCCCTGACCTAGGCCTCAGATATGGGTTGCTTTACCTTCCATTTTCCAAAGGTCTGTGTCCCTCCCACCCCATGTCTTGGAAATTCAGCACCACCTCCCATGAAGGAGAGGAAGAGAAGCACAGAGGCTTTGTGCTGGGCATGGGATGCCCTGCAGATACCTGGGGATGTGGGTGACCAGGCACTAATGAGCACCCTGGGCCTAGCACCCTGAGCTGGTGCCCCATGCCCCAAGACAACTGGCTAGGCAGCAGTGAGGCCTGGGCTGGAGCCACCCCTGCACAGCCCGACCCCTGCAATTCACTGTTTGGGAAAATTCAGCCACTCTGTCAAAAGGCAAAGAAGCCCAGTCTGTTAAGTTAAAAGCCCCCTACCTGAAGCCATTTCAGGGTCAACCTACTGTCTACCTTTAGGCTGTGCAGTGCTCATTTGCACTCTGCCTGTTCTGGGGGGTGGGAAATGATTCTTTACCCATCCTTTGGTTCTTTTTAAAAAGCAGGTCTCATTGCCAGTTTAATGGGGAGAGAGTTTGGGTCTGGAGATCAAAATGATGCCTTTGGATCATCTAGGGACTCCATCCCTTAGTCCTGGATTTCAGACATTTCCACATACAGGAGGCTCCCTTTAAGTCCAGATCAGTGGAATTTGGTCCCAGGGAGTCCTACTCCTTGGTGTCCTTGGTTTCAAAGCAGGGGATCCATTCTGGCTCTTTAGGGAAAGGTTCGTGAAAGTGACAGATGCAGAGCCAAATGATAATAAGATCCAAGTGGCATAGGTAAAGGTGAAAATGGAGATGATGAACAGGATGAACTATAGAGAGGAGGCCCAGGGTAGGTCTGGCCCAGGACAGCTGGAACTGTGAGGGCCACAGGGCCCTTGTGCACTCAGTAAGACAAGCTTCAGCCATGGGAACTGAAGCTGCAGCACATGGAGGGCAGAAAGACAATTCTAACGTCTAGGAATCCATGGATACTGGAGTGTCTGAGGCAATGGCAGCAAACCCAGGCCCAGTGGGGTTACCAATGAGACAAATTAACCCGTTAGGCCTCTTAGACAGCCAACCCACCAAGCAGTGGATTTGCTCCTGAACCTGAACTCCAGAAAATGAATATATATATATGTGTGTGTATGTATATACATATACACACATATGTATGTATATATATACACCCTAGTGCACATAGTCAAACACATGCATAAATTGCCCTGTGTCAAAAATATTGCATAAGCTTGTACAATGTTCAAATGCAATTTTTTTTTCTATCGCTAGCTAGGTAGAGGAACGCGTGAAAGAGAGATACTCGATATATATTTATATACACTGGATCCACAGACCTGCCTGTCGTCAGGACCAGATGCCCTGGTCCACTGTACAGTCATGCCCGTGACTAGGTTATTTCCTAAGGTGCAGTCATGTGAGGTGTTCAGATGCTGCCTTCCCTGCTTACTCTCCTGGCTTTGCAGAGGTCTGCGTTCCTGTTTAGAAGAACAGGGATAACTAGGCTGGGGGGCCAGAAGTTTTAGTTCCATTCCAAATAGTCTATCTTTTCCCCTGATGGAGGGATTTTGCCTTCTGATGGGAAAAAACCCCCTAGTTCAAGACCATTCCAAGCCTATTAATACTCTAAATATTAATACTGTGTAGGCTACTAGGAAAATAGGTTATCTCCTGTGTTTTAAATATTGAGATTCATGCAACAAACACCCATGCAGCTCTATTGCATCACTGGTAAATTTCACTGCAGTGTCAGTGTAGCCGGGCCACATCAGTAGGAAAGCAGATGTCTGCAAACTCCAGTAAGAAACCAGACATGTTTTTGTGACCCTGGAGCCTGCAAAAATGGTGAAATCAGAGGCTTAGAGGTCCGTTGGTTTGTTAGCTTCTCCCCATAGGCCTAAGGGAACAAATGTGAAACTTGACAACTCATATTTGGTTATACTAACTGTCCCTCCCCCGGGCTTCCCTCACATCGACACTGCAGAGAAAAAGCAGAATGCAGCATTTTCCGTTATGAAACACAAGCCTCCGGAGCATCTACTTGGCAATTGCAATTCACAAACCTCAGCCTGTGACACAGAAAGTAATTCCAACACACAGGACTGTGTGTTCTTTTCAATGCAAAAATGAGAATGACCTTGTGAGTAAACACCAGCTATTTAAAGCTAAACCATGATTGTGTTCCTCTGTGAAAGGGCAGGTGGGCTCAAATGGGGTGGTGGGATGGCGGGGAGGGGAGTGCATCTCCTGGATGTTGTGTGCATTTCATTAGGAAGGAATGATGGCACTGATATGGTGCACTGTGTATTGGATATGAGGTGGCCTCAATGTCTTTCTGAAATCCTAGCTTGATAGGTGACTCCCGTCTTTGGAAACTCATAAGCCGGTGATGAGGATGTGCATGAAAGCCATGATAGATATTCTGTGTCCTAAATCAAAGTCAAAAGATCAAAAGTCACTTGCACAACTATTGCTTTCCATGCAGAACCAGATACACACTGTAGAACACACTGACTACAATGCAGGCTATTATGCAACATCTGCATTAGTTCCATTGAGCTGTGAGTATGGTAATAGGTTTCAATCAGACATCAGTTAACATTTTGGTAATATTCACATAGTTTGTGTTAGCCAAGGTACAGTTGGCTGTTTTCAAGTTTTCCTCTCTAAAGTCCTCATTACTGTTGTTTACCCCCTCCTGGATCTCCATGTAATCGGACTTACTAATGGTAGAGGCACTTCTACTTTTCTTTAGGTCAGGGGAGGATGGGATCTTTGGACAGCTTGTCACTTGCAAGTATTGGGCCTGCTCCTCTCCCTCTGTCTCCCGGTGGTAGAAGTAGTTGAAATTGGACACAATGACAGGGACCGGTAAGGCAATAGTTAACACACCTGCAATTGCACATAGGGAACCCACTATCTTTCCCCCAATGGTAGTTGGAACCATGTCTCCATAGCCTACAGTTGTCATGGAGACGACTGCCCACCAGAAGGCATCTGGGATGCTGGGGAACTGGGACTCTCGCTCATCGGCCTCTGCAAAATAGACAGCACTAGAGAAAAGGATGACCCCTATGAAGAGAAAGAATATCAGGAGGCCCAATTCTCTCATGCTGGCTTTGAGGGTCTGACCTAGAATCTGGAGACCTTTGGAGTGTCTGGACAACTTGAAAATCCTAAAGACTCTTACCAACCGGATGACACGGAGGATGGCCAGTGACATGGCCTGCTGGCCTTGCTGAGCGTCCTCTGGCTTCTCGGCCAACTCTGTCCCCAGGGTGATGAAGTAGGGGATGATGGCCACAATGTCAATGATGTTCATGATGTTGGTGAAGAAGCCGGCTTTGCTGGGACAGGCAAAGAACCTCACCAAGAATTCAAAGGAGAACCAGATGATGCAGAGTGTCTCTACAATGAAGAAAGGGTCTGTGAAGGAAGTGGACTGCTGGTACCCGATGGTGCTGTTGGAATAGGTGTGGAAGGTCACCCCACCACCATGCATGTCTTCATTCTCATCCCGGAAGATGGGCAATGTTTCCAGACAGAAGCTGACAATTGAGATCAGAATCACCATGACAGACACAATAGCTATAATCCTGGCAGGCCCTGAGCTCTCTGGGTATTCAAAGAGAAGCCACACTTGTCTCTGAAACTCATTTTCAGGCAGAGGACGCTCTTCCTCCTTGATGTAGCCTTCATCTTCCCGAAACATCTCCATCGCTTCTTCTCCCAGCTCATAAAACCGAATTTCTTCAGAGAATATATCTAAGGGCACATTCACAGGTCGCCTCAATCGGCCCCCCGACTGGTAGTAGTACAAAATGGCATCAAAGCTAGGGCGGTTCCGATCGAAAAAGTACTCATTTCGGAGGGGGTCAAAGTACCTCATTCGTTTCTTTGGGTCCCCTAAGAGGGTCTCTGGAAACTGGGCTAAGGTCTTTAGCTGGGTCTCAAACCGCAGCCCTGAGATGTTGATCACCACCCTCTCACAGCACTCGTGGTCTGCCTCTGGGTCATAGGTGTCCTGGGGGTGCCCAGGGAGGGCAGCAGCCTCGTCTGCTGGGTCTCCGGTGGCCACTGTCATAATTGGGACTGAGAAGCGCCTCACGCTATGCCTTTCAGCTGCCTGGTGGCAGGGAGCTCAGGGTGCTGCTACTGGCCCCAGGAAGCACAGGAGCATTGGCCTGGTCTCCTGCAGGAGAGCCCCGAGAGCTCTCTGAGAGCTGGAGAGACAGCCTCGCTTGGCTGAAAGACAGAGGCAGTTATTGACATGCGGCTACTCAGCATTGGCAGCCCGACATGGGTTGCCACTTTTTGTCTCCCATCTCTCAGCCAAGAGTTCAGAAACATGATCACCACCACCACAACGACAAAGCAAAATGTACTTTCACCTTGTAACTTGTCTGGGGATCAGGGGGAGCAGGTAGCAATCTCTCAAGGAACCTCTGGAATGCCCTGCACTGGGGGAAGGTGGCTGGTACAGGCCCACTTGTACCACACAGGCTTCGTGGAGCATAACCCCATGCTAATAGGTTAAAAGTGGACCCTCTCCCAGGTGCTGCACTAATGTCTCAGATACTCGTACCCAGGGAGGTATTCACGGTGGGGGATCTTGGGCCTGAGTCTTCCTCATTGGCCTCTACCCTAATGATTCTACACAAGGTTGTTATTAAATGATAGATTGATTTACCTGACCAGACAGGAACCTGAAGCTCTCTCCCTTGCAGAGCTGATCAGATGCTGCAGGAATCTTAGATGCACAAACAGGCAGCCCAACTCCCCATCACGTCTTCTCACTCCAGCTAGAAATAATGGTGAGTCATTCTGGGCAGGAGGGCAGATTCTGGGTCCTGGAGGTGAGCTCTAGGACTGGGCTGGGCTGGAGGGGCGATGTGATGCCTGGCCAGGGGCATGCGGGACTTGAAGACAGCCGAGCATGGGCCTGGAGCCTTTTGAAGGAAGGAGGCAAGATGCAAAGCTCAGCAAAAGCTGGAGTCCTGGCTGTCCTCAGGAGGTGTGACGTTGCCTGGAAAAAAACAGCAGCAAGGTGGAACCAGGGCATTTGGGCAGCTGGTGCCAAGATTTAGGAGGGTCTAGGAGCTTCCCTCATGGGAAGTGACAGGCCCCCATGCCCACCCTCCATTCTGATGCCAGGCCTGAGGACTATCCCTCAGCCTTCCTGCCTCTTCTGGGCAGGCTTCCCATCAGCTTGAAGCACTTTCTCCCAGGGAGCAAGACTCAGGCTTAGCTGGGCCTGCCTTATCCAGGGGCCACCCTGGGTTGATCCAGGTCCCTAGTCCCCAGCTGCTCTCAGGAAGGACTCTGGAAGAAGCACTCCTACCCCCACATGTCAGGGCACAGCAGCTCCCAAGAGGAAGGCTTAGCTCACTGCAGCCTGTCTACAAGCTCTGACCTCAGCCAGTCCTGGAAAAGAAGCACCCCACCCCCCCAGCACACACAGACTGCTTCAGAGCGCATCTAGGGAGACCCCACACAACAAAGTCGGCACTGTACGAAAGCTGGATGAACTTACTCTCCCTCCGGGATCCCTGGGCCGCAGGCCTCCCTCTGAGCCGGGTGGCATTTGAGCTGGGCAGTCGCTCGACCACTGATTTCTCCCCCAAGAGAAAATCCCTCACATCTCCTCAGCAGGGAGCACAGAACAAACGCTCAGCCTGCCTAGCTGTGAGGCTGCTTGGCAGCAGCGAGAGGGGGAGCCTGGAGGAAGCCGGCTTCCGGACTGGCCCCCTGCCGACCCAATCCCGCAGGCCCCAGGGCGGGGAGGGGTCTGGACCCTCTCCCCATCGCCCCGGGCTCCGGCCGGGATTCCGTCCGGCGCGCTCACCGCTCGCCTCGGCGCAGAGGACCAGACCCTCCCGCTGGCCGCGGCCGCTAGCGCCACCTTAACCCCCTCCTGCCCGCGCGGTCGGTTCCTGCTGCGGGCCCGAGCGCAGCTCAGCTCTTGAGTCCCCGGGGTCCAGCCGAGGGACCGCCGAGGCTCAGTCTCCACCCAAAAATCCCGGAACCTGATCTCTGGGGGTGGGGAGTAGCCGGCGCCAGGCTGCTGCCCCAGATCTCAGCTTCCTTTTAAGCGCGGGGGCTCGGCTGCAGCCCACGGCCCCAGCGAAGGGGAAAGCCCTCTCTGCAGCAAAGCTGTTTGTTATTCTGTGCCATAGAGGCGAATGCAGCCCGGCTGTCCCAAGTGGTTCAGGTCCTCCAACCCGCGCTATTTACCAGACTTGGTTATGCTGCCAGCTGCACTTCCCACCACCCACCAGCTCCTCTCCGTGCCCTCCGCCCCGCGCCACGCAAACCCCAGAGGGTCCCGAGCCCATTCTGTGCACTCTTCTTGAGCAGGATGCAAGTTCCCCTTGATCTCCCCGGTCCAGGACTTGCCGAGCGGACTGCAGTGGTCGGCAAGGGCTTGCCCGCCCGGGACTCAGCCCGAGCCTGCTGCGCTGCAGGCTGCGCCGCCGG